CTGGTTTCTATACAACACTTTTCTCTCCTCTGAGACCTCATTAATTGTAGACATGAGATCAGTCTGTAAAAAAAGTAAGTACAGTGTATTTACATATGCTCAAATTCTGCTTTAAGGTTCACTAACCCCTCTGGCAGGAGAGATAACTCATACCAGCATTATTTTTTAATATATTTGAAATAAAGAGAAAAAAGATAATTACCTTGATAAACCATATCCCAGCATTCAATTCTTTTATTTGTGAAATATTAAAATAAGATACGTCTTGTTTCACCAGATCAGGAAAGACTTGATCAATATTTGTAGTTCTTTGAAATGTGGAGTCGTGACAAATAAATGGGACACCATCCAAACTGTCAAAAAAAAAATATAAAGAACTAATAAATAAGAAAGTCCTGAAATGTTTACAGACTAAATAAATGATTGACCTATGACTAGTTTAAAATAAAAATTTATTCAGATTTTATTTTATTACTTATATGTTAATTATAAATGAAGGAACATTTTAAAAGAAGGAACCAAATGCATAAGTGTCACTGAACAGACAATGATTATGGTTTTTCAGTGTTGGTCACTTACTAATTAACAAATACAAATGTATGTGATAATATACTTATCTTATTATTACTGAACACAGTTACACATTTTAAAAGAGGCTCTTGTGTGCCTTTATGGTTTTCTAAGAATGTCAGCCTTTGTCTTACTTGAATTTATCGGTATAAATGGTGAGCACTCTATAATTGATAGTCTTTGTACAAAGAATGCTAAATCTGTAATGAACATACCTGATTCGGACATCACTTTCAAATCCAGCTACCTTATATTCGTTTGCTACTTGGAATGATGCTAAAGTATTTTCTGGAGCAATCTGAAACATTAATTCAAGAATTCAATCTCTATAAACAAAACAAACAAGCTAATTCAGAGAATTCGTGTCCCCCGCTTAGGGAAAAAGTCGGCTCCCCATGACTGAATTTGTAGAATTATTAAATGTATACATGTATACTGAAGGAAATAAAATACATGTATGTCAATATTCATACAAAGATTTGATTGCTTATTCTTTATTATGTGTATAGAAGATTTTTTTATATGGAATATTTATCACACTGTAATGATGATTTTATAACCTCATAAATTTTTCATTTCACATGCTGAATACTATCATTTAGTAAAAAAAAAAAAAATTTACAAAAAAAAAAAAAAAAAAAAAAATTAGAGGTTCGACAGAGATTCGATCCCGGGACCTCTCACATTTGAAGCGAGAGACATAACCACTAGACCACGGAGTCGGTTTACACAGACAGAAGTATATGCAGAACTGAAGTCACATACACGTATATATTCATGTTTTCATGTTCGGTTTTCTCAAAATTTTACACAAACAGTTCTAATAGATGTAATAAGAACATAAAGTCCGCCGAGAACCTGTTTTATACGCAATAACTCTCCTCATGCCCCTGCGCTAAAAATAGCGCCATGTAATACTATAAATACTAATAAAACAAACGGGGCGGGGCACTTTGAGAGGGGCGAGAGACGTCCTAGGGAGTTTTGGTATAAAATTACATTGCATAAGCTCAACATCTTCTTGAAATATCGCCTGGAAATGATAGTATTACATACAGACAGAATGTATAAATTTACGACCTTGAACTTTGACCTTTTGACCTCAAAATCAATAGGGGTCTTCATTAGGCCACAGGGAGTTGTTTTATAAAATTTCATTGCAATAGCTCAAATGGTTCTCGAGATATCGTGTGGAAACGAAAGTGTTTTAACAGACAGAATTTGCTTATTTATGACCTTGACCTTTGACCTTTTGACCTCAAAATCAATAGGGGTCTTCTTTAGTCCATAGGGAGTTGCTATGCTAAATTTCATTGCAAAAGCTCAAAGGGTTCTCGAGATATCGTGTGGAAACGAAAGCGTTACAGACAGACAGAAAGACGGACGGACGGACGGACGGACGGACAGACGGACGGACGGACGGACAAACCCAAATTAATATCCCCCACTTTTCAAGCGGGGGACAAAAAATGTCATTTAAAATGAATCTGAAACACTTTCTGCTCAAGTATGTAGTGAAGTTTGGGGCAGGAGGTCCCTGATGACATTCCCAACAATTCATTGTAAAAATTAACATTACAAACTGTAATCTAACAAATTCAAGGATATAGCATATTGATTTTGTGTCCCGATGAAGTTAAAAATAAAGATGTTTACATCTTTAATATTCCATTTTTTAAGGATCTAATATAAGCTCATCTGAAAACTTTGTGGAGGTGAGCTAAAACGTTGCATCTAGACACCAATTTCATAACAAATAGACAAAGCTTACTGCAGATGCCCCCCGGTGAGCCAGAAGTCGAGGTTTGGGTGGTAGGTCTGAGATCAGTACAACACATGGAGAATTGATGAATAATGGAGATATATACAGCCCTGTCATCATAGCCAGATAAAGAATCAGCCATAACAGCTGGCCACCTGAAAAAGAAATAGTCTTCGGCATTTCAATCATCAGATATTATATTCATGTGTGTTCTCATGATAAGTAAAATATGAATCATCTGTGGATATATGACGATGGTGTACACATATTCATTACAGTGATCTTCATTAACTAAGGGGGTGGGGGTGGGTTATTTTCTGTGTCAATTGAAGTGTGCTTTTGTCTATACATGTACTTACCAGAATGTAAAATTTTACATAGGAAAATTATATGCATGTGAATATCTGTTTTCAAATAATTGAAAAATAGTCAGAGTGATTATAAAAATCCTGGATGTTATATAATGTTTTAATATAAATAAGACTAGAATACCTTAAATGTTTTCCAGACTTTCTATAACAATTTGATATTTTGTTTGCCATGGCATGTAGAGTTTCAAAATAAGATATTTTGAACTCAAATGAAAAAGTGTTAGAAAACCTGATGATTTTTTTTTTTCAATTCTTAGAAATTTTCAGAAAAAATAGGTTGTACAGTGTACTTACATGTAGATGACAGAGTGAACCATTGTCTGGCTATCATCCAGGATAATAAAGTCATCACAGCCACACCCCCTACCTGTAGATAGGGACCAAATATCTGAAAATAGAAACAGGGCAAATATTAGCCACCCATTAATAGAAAAAATACCATTATTTCTTAGGCCTACATTAATTAATGTTCTGTTCACACAGAGAGTTTAATTCGAATTAAACATAAATTACTGCATATTAAATTTGAACTGCATTCACAAGGGGAGTTTAATGCAAATTAGTTCATTTCAAATTAAGTTACTGCACATTAAATTGCCTCACATTTATCTGCGTGAATGCTAAGCGAGGCTAATTCTAATTAAATTTTGATGCATGGGTAATGGCAAAATTAAGACAAATGCAACATGTTGGTGGTCAGCCAGAAGTACTTGTGCTATTTTTGAGTGAAAAACTGAGGAATATTGTGTTAATCACTAAACTGTGTGTACAGACACTGACATTATGTCAAATGCATGGATCTGCTACAGCCTACTGCAAATAATGTCATAATAGCTTTACTGAGACTGACAGTAGAAGCAAAATGAATTTGCATTGGTTTACTTCACAATAGCTGTCGTATGAACGCAATTTAATTTGCATTAGTTTGATGTGCACAAGTTTACTTCACATTTATTTACTGCGAATATTAAACTCTCCGTGAGAACAGGGCATGAATTAGGGAATAACTATCTTCTAATTTGGTATTTGCGGTATCAACGGTCGCAAAAAGATGTTTGCGACTGCTAAATCAGCATTAACGGTAAAAAATACCAAATTAGAAGATAGTTATTTCCATTCTAATGCAATCTATGCATTTTGTTTGTTGTTTACGTTTTATTTTGTTGAGTTTTAATACATGAAATAAGTCACGGCGCATTGTGTTTTTGCGTCACTCTATTATGAGGTCAAAATGAAAAGCTTTCTTTCTCATTAATGCTCGTTTTACTGCTTCAAACATCAGTGCATTAGCTAATCAAAACGTGTTTTACAAAACAATTGCATTAGAATCATCGTTCATTTGCCGTCAGCATATTTTTCACTCATTTGGAGACTCCGCCACTTGCTGGTGGAGAGCTGCAAATTTAAACCAAAGCCAATTGCTTTTCTATTACAGCACCTGTTGCATCACAGGACCTTAGATTATGCAGTCTCATCCAAAGAACGATATCCAGAGGTGGGTTTTGAACAAACAACATAAGGATCAACTCCTTTCTCTGTGACTTTCGAGCAGATGTTCTAACCACTGCACCATGCCGGTGACTCTGGTTTTAGATCTTTAATAATGGCCCTTACCTTGAGTGACAGCCAGACTAAAGCCCACTCTTCTTTCCACATTTCTTCAGTTGTAATTACCATGGCAATGAAGAATGCCAGGAAGAGTAAAATAAACACAGTGTGCACTTTGTGTGTGTACAGCTGCTGTCCTTGTAGAAAATGGCACAAAGAAAGACACTGAAAAACAAACGTAAATACCATCATAAAACTATTTTGCATATGTTTACATAATAAATACTTCTCTGTTTAAATTTGGAGATTCCTCTCGTATGAAATGAAAAGGAATGTTTTTAAGATTTGTACAAGTCATTGTCACAGAAGCATATTTCATGATGCGCACTACCTTAAATTTAAATTTTACATGTTTGAAAGCATGCACCAAAAAATATACTTAATATTTGAATTTTTCCCTGCCCTATATAGTTACATTCTTATTAACGTCTCGGAAAAGAATTTACTTACCATTAAAATAAATAAATATATAAATACAACACAGATAATAGTAAGGAATATTGTGTAGACTGGAAGCCATTTGTTGGACTGTGGGTAAAAAAACCTACAAAAAAAAAAGCAAAATGTCTTTCAGACATATAGATGAAGATTGAAAATAGCAATTGATAATCATGCTACCTGGTAATCCAGTTTGTTACATGGTACATGTATTTTGTTCACTATTGAAAGCAAAGGCTTAGAATTTCAGAAAGAACACGGACCAAAGATTTACATTTTACAGTTAATTATTTGTGTCCTAAAATGTTTCTCTTACCAGTTCAGATCATTGAAGTCATTTTTCATTATAGCAATGGTGTACAGCATAAATACACCGAACAGGAATGTCAAGGTCAACAGAAAGAAGATCAGCAAGTCCCTCTGAAATCAGAAAATCATATAGAAAGTCATCCCCTCAAAGAATTTTTACCAATATTTACCCTAAAGTTAATCAGTAAGCTGGATTTTGCATGTGCAATTAAAAATGTTCCTCCAAGAGTTAAGATACCGTATAATCCCTGTTTACTGCCCAGGACGAATAGAAAATTGCGAAAAGGGGGCGGTTATATTGGTATTCTCATTACAATATTTGATGTCATATTTTAACTTCAAAAAATCTTTTGAAAAAAAATTAATTCAAAGAACCACTTAAATAAAGTCTCAATTTTACTTTAAGTAAAGATAATCCACCCAAATTATGCTAAATGATCCATTTTCTACCAAGAAATGGGATAATAGAAAGTTTCATTTTCACTTTCTTCAAATTTTGACAGACTTTTTCGATTCTAGTCAAATGATTTTAATCACTGTGCAGGCGGCCCTTATTTCCTGAAAATTGAAAAAGACCCAGGGGGACACTAATAGGGGCAGGGGCGGTAAATAGGGATTATACGGTACTGAAATTGTAAACTTTAGTCTATGTCAAACTAGCAAACCAGATTATAATTGCATGAATTAAGATGAACTTTCTCTTCAAAATGGCACAGAAAGTTATGCATACCATCAACATGTTTATCTATACACGTAAGTCATCAAGAAAAGCATATATTGATATATATACAGTCAAACCTCTTTATCTCAACCTCCATGGGACTTAAAAAAAAAAAATTTCAAAGAATTCAAGCTATTAAGGGTAAAATACTATTATACACGTACTAAATAATAGGTTGGGAATTCCAAATCACTTCGACATATCCAAGGAATTTGAAATATCAGTGTTCAAGTAACCGAAATTCACCTGTACATTTATCATGATATTAGAAAAACAAAAATAATATGTAAAAGCTAAACAGGTACTATGATACACCAGGGATTTCCATTTTTGGAGTGGCTCACTGACCTTCCTGCTGTCTCTGGTGGATTGTTTGTAGCGGTGCCATCGACATCCCAGGCTACCGGTCAGACACACCAGGCAGTACCGGTGTTGGTAGTCCTGGAGCTTCACGTGGGACACCATGTCGCCTCAGAAAGTAGTCCGCTTCTCATAGCAACAGCTAGCTGCAAGAACACATAATCATGATAATTAGGACTCTTATCATGTAGCACTAAATCAAATCTACGCTAAATTGTTGAAAAATTAATTTCCATCAAATAATGTACATGTCAAATATAATACATTCATGTACAATTTTTCTCATGTTCTACTGAGTGGTCATTTAAGAGAGATTTAGACCGCTGAGTGAGATTCTGGACTTGAAGATGAGATGAGGGACCGCTTATGTCACACAATAGGCAGAGTTAATTTATATTTGTTGGTGTTTGACAGTGATAGATTTGGCAGAGTTTAACCTAGGTTTATACCATGGAAGACAGCATAATACAAGGATGATTAAGGTCTCATGTGAAGGAATGGTCTCACAGTGGGATTCAAACCTGCTATGTAAGGATCAATTCCTTACTCAGTGACTCTAGAGCAGATGTTCTTACAACTGCAGAAGGTGTCAGGTGACTAATATGAACAGAGAGTGGAAAGTAACATGTAGCTTAATTTGTTCTTGTTTTATTACCAACATGATTTAATCTATCTTTCATCATGTTCATTCATCAGGAATCGCTGTGACTATGCCCTTGAAGTGACATTAGTGAGAGATCTGCCATGGAAGAGTGTGGTTTGGTGTCAAGGGGTTAAAGAATTTAACAGTGTTTAAGGAGGGAGGAATGTGGTGGTCAGATGAGACTGAAAACAGTGCTGGTGCTTGTACTGTACGTAGTAGATAGGGATGTGCGATTTTATCGGTATACCAGTATATCACGATTTTTTGTTGCGTGATACGTATCGTGATACAGAGACCTAAATACCGGTCTTTAGGTACATATTATAAAGTCCAGAAATTATTCATTTACTTGTTCAATCTTTCAAATTACAATTACAGAAAGTATAAAAAATGTTGTAAAAAGTGAAAAGAACGGCATCTTACCGTCCAAAGTGGCAAACATAATTGATTTTATATACATAAAAATGCCAAGAAAGAAAAATTTTGTTTTTCTAGCATATTTTTTAGCAAAATAATAACTTTTCATATAAAATCATTGTAAAAACTGCTTTTAAAAAATCATGATATTATCGTGATATTGTGGGAAAAAATCATGATATATCGCGATACGAAATTTTTGGCGATACCCATCTCTAGTAGTAGATGTATGCTATATTTTTATAGCTAGTACACCTGTGCCTTTCTAACAAACAATTCATTTAAATTAATAAAAAATCACAATAAGATACGTAACACAATGTAACAGCCCTTCTCGCTTATAAATTTAATATATGACTCCAAATCAAAATCGGTTGTTCTCTTCTATGGATAATGAATATAATTATGTGACAGAGATGGGGCTCTGAATGTCAACTCAGATAATGTAAGCTGGACTTTATCGTAGTGCACAACGATCGCAGCCAAGGGTAGTGACATCAGTGTAAAATTGTAAATAAGAGTGTTCTGCGGAGAGCTGGCAGTTGCCAGTCGGAGCTTAAAGGAGAAAGTCGACAGATTAAAGATAACGAGGTACAGTGCTAGATACCTCGAAGACCCATACCTGTCTCTTGGACCCAGACCTGTCCGAGTACAGGACACGTCCCAGTTAGCAATATGTATACATACGTATCTGTCCCTAATCTGGTACAGATATAGCCATGACACAGACCCATGTGCATTATTTAATTGTTTCCATGTTAAGGATAGGATATCCTATTATTGATACTTATTTATATCTGTACATATCGACTTGTTTGTTTTCATATCCTTTGTCACCTATCATTTTTATTCATTTTCTAGAATTCTTTGATAGATATATTTTGCAATAAGTGAATAAAGGAGTTATTTCCTATGTAACACGAGAGGAGAAAAATGCATCATATCAGGATCCCTCTATAGTACACATCTATTACGGTACAAGCACCAGCGCTGTTTTCAGCAGAGCATGTATATATAAGATGGTGTAGGGTGGTTTCCATTACGTGTTCGCTGTTTTATCAACAGGTAAGATATTAGAGCATGTTACCTATAATTATATAACTTAGTACCTTGTAATTAATTAACCCCACGCGTTAATGTTGTGTGTCGGATAATTATCCCATTTTGTATTAACACTGATAGTGAGGCCATTTTTAGCCATTTATTTGAACAAAATTGATCGTCTAATTTGGAATAATTAAGACTGGATGTTAAAATAAATATTTATTTCACAAATATCATTGAGTTTTCAAGGATGTCATTGTTTTTCATTTGATTTACAATATTAGACTTCCCATTTCATTGCAATTACCTCTTCTTTATAATATTTTAATATATATATTAAAGCCGCTTGGTCCGATTCTAATCGCTAAAAATGTATATTCGTTTTTCTTCTTGAAAAATATTTGTCCTTAAATTGTTTCAACTTTTGTCAAATTATATCCCCAAAGTCTTTTTCTTTTAAAAGATATTAAAATTCAAAAGTTAAAAAAATAATTTTTGTTAGGTCAGACAAAAAATAATCCTATGTTGATCATTGTTGATATCGCGTGAAATTACCTTCGAAAAATTAAATTTATCGCTTACATGTTTATCTCATGAAGAACAAACCCGAGCATTTTGTTTCACAACAAAGTATATACATGTATATTACCTGTACATGGACAATATTTTAGCTCCTTTAAAAATCATTTAATATATCTGATTTTCCTTTCTCCTTTAAATATGCATATCAATATAAAAATTACTATGATACTTAATTTTGAAAAGATGTATTATGACTAAGACTTTCTACTAATAGAGAAAAAAAATAATCGGGTTTGAATTATCATCAATATTAGATATATCCGATAAACATATTTTTTTTCAGAATTGACTTCACAACAGATCTTAAAGCTGAACACGACTCGTAAATAGGCATACGCCATTTTTGATAGCATTATCTAAAAATACTAGGGTATACTCGTTGCTTTCGTTACACCTGACTGCTTTATTGTCACAGGTATCGGCGTGGAATGGCGAATCTTGCATTACCTTTGTTTATATTTTATTGCAGTTACGTTTATCTATGTTGTTTGTATACTGCACTGACTTATGTACCTATAATTGTAAATTTATTTGGTATCTTACTTTCCTGCATTAGACGAAGTATTACGTTATTATTCTCGTGATTTATAGCATTTCAACCGATCATTTAAACTGAACAGTCTCTAATTCTTGCCCTATTTATATGGGTCTGCAGGCTAGCGAGTCTCGGGAACTAAAATGGCGGATACATTTCTTTTACGAATCGTGTTCAGCTTTAACTTCCGTCAGGAACTACTGTTTGTCTGTAAGGTTTTTGATCTGCGTTTTTCATGTAAGAATTGTTGTAATAAACTATTAAATCAATCTTATAATTCATTTTTATATATTATCTATGTAATGACGTACTTTTATTGTGTAAGATAATATGTGCCTGTTTCGGGTTAAGCGGCTTTAATCAAATAAAATATAAAAGCGGTATCTTCAAAAGTAAATGTAAATAATGGCGCGAACACGTAATAAAATTAAATGTAAAAAAATAAAATAACATTCCCATTCACCATTTAACACATCTCTTATTGCATTACATATGCTGCTCTCATTTAATGTACTTGTACAGTTTTCAAATTCAATTTTGCGAAAAATAGAAACGAAAGTCCATCTCACCTTCAAATCTATCAAAAGTTGACAGGTCTTCTTCTACAACCGCCATATTTGTTTTCAACACATGCGCTTTCGCATTTCAAAAAAATTACACTAATGCGCATAATGACAAAGCCGCCTCCGCAAGAAGTAGTATCATTTCAATCATTTGTTTTCGGATTTTCATCACATGTCCTTACAAACAGACAAAATAAATGTAAATAATGATAATAAAATTAAATGTAAAAAAATAAAATAACTTAAGTTTTTCCCTAGTTTATTTACATGTACGTATTTCTAGGCATTGATTAGTGCAATTTAAGAATTATAAATTTTTGCAAGTTACAATGTTTTACGCTGATATACCCCCTCCCTTGGGGGTACTCCAGACTGTACTGCAGCTGTACCCGGATCCTCCGATAGGCCCATAGAAAATGTTAGGTGTGCTTAGAACTTTAGTAAATCCCGTACTCAATACAGATGGCAGTCTGAGTCTAATTCCGAAATAGCTTAGTTTGTACAAAAGGCTTTGATAAGGGACTTTATCACCTTTAAGCTGCATGTCAAAAAACAGCAATACGACATCTGTCTGTCCCTAAATGTTATCTATGTTACCAGATAGATCATGAATTGTAATCATTTCTCTTTTTCACAAAAGCGGCGCTTACATGTTGGTGTACTATGTCATGCAAGGTGTTGTTTGTATCTTCATGGTCCGTGATGTTATAGGCCATGGTATGTTCAAGAAGCTTACAGGTATATAACTGAATTAAGTCAAGGACAAAGGTCTATATAGTAATGTCATCTAGACATCTACTTAAGTTTGCTTTGTCCCCCTTTTTGCAGAAAGAAACGACATAAATTTGCGGACTAATCCAGTCAGTTGGTATTATACCCTGATTGATTGATGTTTTGTTTGTTTGTTTGTTGTTTAACGTCCCTCTGGAGAATGTTTCACTCATGCATATGAAGACGCCACAATTTAATTTGCCTGTGGAGAGCTGCAATTTTTCTCCTATACTCGGCACTTAGGGCCATTGAGCAGTGAGGGATCTTTTTCGTGCCAGCAATTATAGCTAAGTTGCAACACGCGGTCTCCACGTCCCACTGAATGATTCGAACCTACGACGTATAAGGATCAACTGAAGAGCAGACGCTCTTAACACTGCACTACGCGGGCGACGATGGGTGTTCTGAGAAAACAACAGTTGAGATACTGGTACTAGTATACATGTATATATATACCATCCCTCCGTATATAATACAAGTAGATGGTTGTTTAACAGGACTACCGGGTATACATACATGTATCTGACTTGAGACTGGCAAGGAATTTCGTTATTCCACCTGTACTGTCATCAGGATGATCTGAGTTAAATGTTTCCATAATAACCAAGATGTTTTTTTCCCTAATTTTTTCCCTAATGTTTTAAACTTTGCTGCATAAATGTTTTGTAAATATTAATTTACACTATGTCTCTTTCTCAATACTTTTTCAAAATAAAAGAAAGCAACGGAATAGAAATATATTGGTACGTCTGAAATAAGCTCCCATAATATATATGATGTTAAAATGATCAGCGAAATACTTTTATTTAAAAGATTTATGGAAGGCTAGTGATTTTATTCACTCTATTAAAATTATCAGCTATTACACCGTGCGCCGTAGGACCGTACCCTGTGCACATTCAAGCAGAATAAAATCTTCATTTTTGCATATATATTATCAAAAACATCATGATACACTTAAATATGATGAATAAACATTTACTGAAAATTTCAGCTTAGTGCGCCCATTACTTTTTGAGAAAAGCACTTTGTCCACGATTTTACGGGACAACCCTCGTACATGGAAATTCAGATAATTCAGCTGTTACATTTCTACTGTAATTATGTTCCCCAAACGAAGTTGGGGAACATATTGTTTTTACTCTGTTTCTTATTAAGTCTTCCGTTCACAACGGAAGACTTATAGTGTTTGTATTGTTTCTTTTTATTATTATTATTATTATTATTATTATTATTCCTCCCAAATTTTGTGAGCGCGATTACTCAGAGATGGCTGGATAGATTTTCACAATTTTTCTCATGTAAGTAGGTTGTTATGTGAAGTTTATATAAAATTCCGTTTTTTGAAAAATTCACTTCCGGTCCGAAGTTATGGCCGATTTTCGAATTTTAAAATGGACTTTTGTCCGGCAGTTTTCTCAGAAACGGTTTGAGGTAAAGATATGAAATTTACAGGAGTATTAAATCATGATATTCTATTTGTTTTGAAGTTGTTTTCGTGTGTTTCCAGTACTTCCTGTCCGAACCGGAAGTGAATTTATATTTGGTCAATTTTTTATTTTTTTGTTTTTGGATATTTTTTCAAGATATTCTTATGTAAAATAGACATTTATCTACTAATACTAACTATATAATTTGTTTTTAAATCAGATTCCGAATTTTGTATATTTTCGGTACCGAAATTTTCTCTATTTACTTAGTATGTATAAGGTGGGGAAAGAACGATAACTCTGACCTGTGAATGAGAATAGAACTTTCGAGATAAAGGCGGAAATAGTATTGATGACGTTAGAGACATATACACTCTCCAGATCAACATATTTACACATTCAATATTTGCATATTATTTAATTCACTATATGCATATTAGTTTAAATTTGGCTGTGTAGTGTTAGTCTGTATATTGAAAGTTTTTGATTTACAAATTTATATCTTAAAAAAAATATCCGTTCTGTGTCAACTAAGCACTTTGAAGAAAATAATATTGTACGCAGTATACATTACAGCGATAAATATACAAATTATTCTACAAAAAATACTAAACATATTATTTATTCAATCTGATTCTGCATTTTGGAGATTTAAGGTTCCGTCAATAAATTCATTTTCTCTATTTACGCAGTGACAATGAGCAAAGATAGATAACTCTGACTTGTAAGTGGGAATAGAACTTTCGAGATAAAGGCGGAGGTAGTATCCATGACGTCGCAGACGTCTATATCCACACTTTTCACATAAAAAAAAATATTTAAACTTTGAGTTTCCATACCCACTTCCGTATGAAAGATTACGTTGGTTACTGCTTTCGGTATATGCATAGTTTAAAGTTGTCAGCGTAGTGTAAATCTGTAATGTCTGTTATGATTATATGTAAAAAAAAAATTCTTAATTCATTCTCTAATTTGCATGCTAAATTATCCGGGAATCCGAGTTTTATTTTCGATTCTAAAATATTATATGTACTTAAAAGGGAACTGAGAGATAGAAGAGTAGGTGTAAAGCCTTTAGAAATAAATTGATATCTGCAAATTAAAAGAAAGAAAATCAATCTATAGATTGGATTTGGTTTTAACACGTATTTCATTGATTAAAAGTCTTATATTGTTATTTATTATACACGATCTATTCTTTTATATATACCCGAGAAGTTATTAAAGATGAGAAAAAGCAATTCTTGGATTTTTGTGAAATACTAGTACTCAAAGGGTTAACAATATGTGAAAGTTACATGCACGCGTTTCTGTGTGAAATAATGCTACGCTAAAAACATGATACAAAAACATCTGCAAAAGTCTGTTGATATGTTAGATAAAGTATACGAATGAACACAATTTTATGCAATGCTATATAATTATATGTATGTACATGCAACCTTAAGTATTTTCCTTTTAATTCATAAAACATAAAATTACCGAGTATGTAATTCTTTTGAAGCCCCCCCCCCCTCTTGATTTTATTCGGAAACATAATTGCAACTATAAGCCTTTGAATTATAAATTCGTTATACAATTAAATCTGGAACATTTGGTTATAATTACCATGAACATGTATACAGAATTTCATATTCTATAATAGTATATTTTTCATTACGCAAGATACTGAAATTTACATGTCTGTGAGAGAGAGAGAGAGAGAGAGAGAGAGAAAGAGAGAGAGATTCCCTTTAATCCTGATTATCCTATCCATTTACATAGACAAAAAATCAGTACTATATCAGTTGTACCCATTCTTTATTAAATATTTCCTGATTTCATAGTCCGTCATAGTCACTATCTGTATATTTTTTCTGCTTAAGAAGTATTACACTTAGTGCACATGTATTGACCTGTCAATCAAAATCACCGGACGCTGTATGCATTGCAATAAAGTTGTTCGAAATGATTTTTATTATTATTAAGTATGATCTTTAAGAAAATCTGATGCAACAAATTTGAGAAATGAAAAATAAAATAAAAACATGGCTAGAGCATCATATATCTGTATTATGGACTTCAGTTGTGGGATGTGGAGACCAGTCCGTCAGATGAGATCGTTTAAATCGATGTCCCGTGTGTCAGATGGTACTGACTCAAAAAGATTCCTCACTGTTCAATGGCGATTAGAGCCAAATTATAGGACGTTTTGCAGTCTCCACCGGCGAGTGGAGGCTTCTCCATGTGAAAAATTCTCGAGAGGGACATCAAACAACATATAATCAATTAATCGATTGCTGAATAATTCCTGTAGTTGAATTATCTTTCTGCTGACAAATCTCGATAGTATTACTTTAAAAATCAACGACTTTACGTTTAATGTGGTACTAACCACAGGTGCCTGAGGACAGGACCACCCCCCCCCCCCCCCCCCCCCCCTTCGATATAGACCCCTGGGCTTTTTCGATTTTTTTTTTCATAAAAAATCTTTCATTGACATATTTGTGATAAGATCTATACCAGCAAATCGAAAAATTGCCTAAAACAAACGTTGTATTAAATCTACCCTACATTCTCTATATAAAAATTTATTTATAGAGAGGGTATATATTTTTATAAAATGTAAGTTTAAGCAAATTTTCTGAATTGATAGGATAGATTATATCACAAATGTGTCATCCATATATAATTTTTGTGAAAAAAGTCTAACAGGCCTGGGGGTCTATATTTAGGGGGGGGGGGGGGTCCTGTCCTCAGGCACCTGTGGTACTAACCTAGTTCATGACATTTTTATAACACCATCCCAATTGTACATTGACAATAAACACAGTGAAGTTTATGAGAGTACGGTGTTCGTCCGTCCGTTGGTTTGTCTATGATACACGTGTAGCTCT